GGGTGAGTTTGGGCACTGTCTCGTCCAGGAAGGTGGTGACCACAGATGCTTGCCTCACGGGCTGGGGCGGTGTGTTCGAGGGCAGACCCGTAAACGGGGTATGGAGTCCTCACCTCCGCCGTGCTCATATAAATTATTTGGAGCTCATGGCAGTGGCACTTACGCTGAAAAATTTTCTCCCGTTCCTCCAGGGGCACCATGTGCTGGTGAGGATGGACAACACAGCCACTGTGGCTCAGATAAATCGCCAAGGGGGACTGCACTCCCGCTGCTTGCTCGCGCTCACGCGCAAGCTGCTCCTGTGGAGCGATGCGCGCCTCTTATCTTTAAGAGCGACGTATGTTCCCGGCGTTCTGAATGTGGGCGCAGATCTCCTGTCCAGAGGGAACCCCCTATACGGAGAGTGGCGTCTGAACACATGGGTTGTGGACCAGATCTGGATCAGGTTTGGCCACGCATCGGTGGATCTGTTCGCATCCACCGAGAATGCCCACTGCCCACTGTTCTTCTCCCTACACGATCACCATGCGCCTCTGGGAGTGGACGCGTTCTCTCATGAGTGGCCTCAGGTGCCGCTATATGCCTTTCCGCCTCTAGCGCTGATTCCTCCCACTCTCCTCAGAGTAAGAGAACGTCACCTGAGGCTGGTTCTGATAGCCCCGCACTGGCCGTCCATGCCTTGGCTGGCGGACGTCAAACAGTTACTGTGCGGGCACCCCTGGACTCTCCCGTTACGCAGGGATCTTCTGACCCAGGCGAACGGGGAGGTGTTTCATCCTCTCCCCGAGAGACTTGCACTACGGGCCTGGCCCCTGAGTGGTTAAGTCTCTCTGCGGCTGGTCTCCCTCAGAATGTGATCAATACCATTCAGAGCGCCAGGGCTGTTTCCACAAGGTCTCTGTATGACCGTAAGTGGAAGGTTTTTGAGGATTGGTGCGTTTCACAGGGGGTGTTTTCTTTCAATTGTCCCTTAAATGTCATTTTGTCATTCCTCCAGGACCTTATTGAAAAGAAAAAGGGTTTCTCCACAATCAAAGTTTATCTGGCTGCTCTTTCGGCATGTCATGTTGGCTTTGATGGCAAAACTGTGGGCCAGCATCCGCTGATCTGTCGTTTTATGAAGGGAGCTAGGAGATTACTGCCTGTGTCCAGGACCATGTCCCCTTCGTGGGATCTGGCTGTGGTTCTGCAGGCTCTTTCTGTCCATCCTTTTGAACCATTGGAGGACATTGACTTGAAGACCAGTGTTTCCCACACATAGACTAATCTGTGGCGCACCGCCACAGATTAGAGACCGCCCGCCACAAATTGCGTTTCGTATTATTATATATATATTTTTTTTGTTACGCTATTTAAAACATGCATCGTCTAGTGCCGCCGCAGCGGTCAATTTGACAGCGGGGAGGGGGGTTTAAAATGTGGCGGCCCTTCGTAACTCTCACTCAAGCTACGCGTCTCTCCCACATACAGAGACCTACACACACACAGCCCCTCCCCTTCGTGCACACCGCGTGTCTCCGTCTCCATCAGCGATCATCGCTGTAAGCAGCTGTGTCTATTAATTTACCGCGGTAAAGTGGCCCGCATCTTTCAGCTCTATGAACATGCGGCCAGCATCGGGGAAAAGACGGTGCGCGTTTTGTTGAGAACTTACGGTAACAGCGGAACGTCCTTTCGGAGTCACCCATTTTTATCGAACAGAAAGCGCGCTGGGGTCTGGGAGACACGTTTTTGTGATTAAAACCTTATAGAGATGCCACCCGGCACACATAGCACCAGCCCCCTACGATTCCTCCGGCAGATTGTGAGTCCTCAGGAGGATAGACACTCTATTGTTTACATGTATAAAGTACACAATTTGGTCCGCTAGTGCAATTTTCAAGTATTGTAACTATTTACTGGAATAAGGTGTGCGACTAATTTCACTTGACTCATGACCTTATTATTGCCCTCTGCCACTGTACCAAAGACCAGAAACTTTTACTGTAGAAATATTGAGAAATATTGAGGTAAAGTAGCCATTTTGGTCCAAAATACCTCCAAAATAGTCAAAACATGTCACTTTTGATCTACTGTAACTTTTTACTGTAAAAAGGTGTGCGACTAATTTCACTGGATTCATGACCTCAAGATTGTCCTCTACCACTGTACCAAAGACCAGACACTTTTACTGTAGAAATATTGATTTAAAGTAGCCATTTTGGTCCAAAATAGCCTAAAAATGGTCAAAACATGTCACATTTGATCTACTGTAACTTTTCACTGTAAAAAGGTGTGCAACTGATTTCACTGGATTCATGACCTCAACATTGCCTTCTACCACTGTACCAAAGACCAGACACTTTTACTGTAGAAATATTGAGAAATATTGAGGTAAAGTAGCCATTTTGGTCCAAAATACCTCCAAAATAGTCAAAACATGTCACTTTTGATCTACTGTAACTTATTACTGTAAAAAGGTGTGCGACTAATTTCACTGGATTCATGACCTCAAGATTGTCCTCTACCACTGTACCACTGTACCCCCCCCCCGCCGACGACCACCACACATTGCCTTCAAACCTGTGGGAAACACTGAAGACGTTATCATTGAAGACTATATTGCTGGTAGCTTTGGCCACAGCAAAACGTATCAGTGATATCCATGCTTTATCTACGCACCCTGCGTGTATGCGGTTCAGTGCTGATAATCTCAGGGTGACTCTGCGTCCCAATCCAGCTTTTATCCCAAAAGTGATTGGTGCCTGCACCCAGGTCGTTGTGGAGGCTTTTCGCTCCCCGCTCGGCACTTCTGTTGAGGAGCAGGAGTCGCACAGGCTGTGCCCTGTCCGAGCTCTCAAGGCCTATGTTGAGAAGACCAGGTCTTTTCGACAGGCGGACCAGCTATTTGTGTCTTGGGCAAAACCCCACAGAGGAAAGCCTGTTTCAAAACAGAGGCTTTCTTATTGGGTGGTGGAGGCCATATCATTGGCTTATTCCACGGCAGGCCTGCAGGTCCCGGTTGGCCTTAGGGCCCATTCTACCAGGGGCCTGGCGACCTCATGGGCCTGTTTCAGGGGTGTGCCTATTCAGGACATTTGTGCTGCTGCTAGTTGGTCTTCATCCTTGACCTTTGCAAGGTTTTACAGGTTGGACCTCACGTCTCAGGGTTTGTCTCACGCCGTCCTCAGCGTGGGTTCTCCTGAAGACATGCCCTGATCTTTGGCTCTCTCATGGGCTTCTGGCTGGCATCATGTCATTTGCGATAAGCTTGTCTGGCAATACGGGAGTCTCCATATCCCATAGTGAGACATCGAAACGAATACTATGAAAGACAACTTTAGGTACCTCGCGTAACCCCGGTTCTCTGAGTAGTATGAGTGAGATGTCTCACCAGATTGCCCCTCTTGCTTTGGGGGTGAAGCGAGAAGAGGTGTGCTTATTGAATGGCGGGTGACGTCGTACGAATGGCATTTATAGTGGGTGCCAACGTCGCGACGTCACCACTGCCAGCCACTCAGGGCTGGCGTAATGGTATAGGGCTTCTGTGAACACCCGAGGGGGGCGTTCCCATAGTGAGACATCTCACTCATACTACTCAGAGAACCGGGGTTACGCAAGTAACCTAAAATTTGTACATGTAGAAGTGTACATCTAATTCGTTGGATCGCTCTGTAGAGGGTGCTAATGCTAAAATATCATGTGTTTCAATTTCAGCTGACCAATACCCAATTTGGTGCTAATCAAACTTTATATGAGTAAAAGGAAGCAAATGAAATTGTCAAATTTGGGCAAAATGTGTGCTGCTTGCACACCGTTTAACTGATCACAAATCTGCAGCTAACTTTTGATGCTAGATGTCTTGAGGTGAAGTGGAGAAATTTTGAGCAAAATCATTGAAACAACCAAGGCTGGTTTGTTATGTTTTGTTGTAACGATTTGCCCTATGACACAGAATGGGGAGGGTTTCACATCGCTACGGCAACACGGTGAAAAAAAAAAAAAACATACATCTAATTGACTTTTCGGATTGGATTGCCATAAAGACAAAATTTGGTCTAAAATTTCACACATTTGGACAAAACTAAATTTCTTTATGCCCATTAAAACTTAAAACTTTGGCTCACTCTTTGGCTCACTTTCCCACCTCTACACCTTCTCCACCGACTCCCACTGATGACTGCTGTCGTTGTGTCCTTGGGCAAGACACTTAACCCCACTTTTCCCAAAGCCCCCACTGAAAGATCAAGGCTATGCTCACACTCAGAGAGCAGCCGTCCTCTTCTGTGGACTCACCACCTGCAGAGGGTCAGTGAGGGGCTGGTGCTATGAGACTTGGGTGGCAATCAGAGACCCAGAAATGGATTAAAGGGTAGAAAATGGATGGATGGATGGACTTTGGCTCACTCTGTAGGGGTGCTAATGCTGCATTTTCATGTTTTTCACTGTCAGCTGACCTAGACCCCAGAGGGTAACAACTGAGTCACGATTAGTGTTAATCGGACTTTGCATGGGTAAACGGGAGCAAATTTGAAATTCTCAAACTTGGAGGAAAAAAAGTGCACGTTTGTCGCTCCCCTGCTTGAACACAGTTTAACCGATCACAATTCTGTGGCTCACTTTTGATGCTACATGTGTTTAGATTATGTGGAGCAATTTTGAGCCAAATCTATGAAACTGCTGAGGTTGGTTGTTTCGTAATTAAATATTTTCCTCCCCATGTATACCTTTGGCTCACTCTGTAGGAGGCGCTACAACTGCAATTTCATTTTTTTTCACATCCAGGTGACGTAGACTTAGACTCAGTTGAACAACAGATTCAAGTTTGGTGTTAATCAAACTTTGAGTAAACAGGAGCACATTTGAACCAGGGTGGTGATCCCCCTCTACAAGAAGGGAGACCGGAGGTTGTGTTCCAATTATCGTAGGATCACATTCCTCAGCCTTCCCGGTAAGGTCTACTCCAAGGGACTGGAGAGGAAACTTTGACCGATGGTTGAATGGAATTAGTTGACACAGACCTGGACCAGGGCTGATCTGGTTCTCGTACAGGTGGATGTCATCACCGCTGGCAATGGGAGAGTCCTGTCCTTCTTCTCGGCCCTCGCTGCCTTCCTCTTGCTCCACCTCCCGCTGCTCTGGGGACACAGCAGAACAGGGTCACCTCTGTGGCCTGAAAATAGTGAAAAATCTGCACAGCTATGTTGCTCCCAATCAGTGTCTTTTATTTACAGACCACGTTGTAACACATCGGGCTGAGGCCCTTCATCAGACATGATGGGGCCAATCACCAAAAATTATGTTTGTGAATCTTCTAAACATCTCATGATGGCACAAATCATAAACTATCATATAGTGACCATTTTAATAATCCAATTAAAATAGCCCCCAAAAAATAATATTCTTAACTAGTGCTGTCCAACAATTAAAATATTTAAATCGCGATTAATCGCATGAATTTCATAGTTAACTCGCGATTAATCGCAAATTAGTCACACATTTGTATCTATTCTTTATGTCCCTTGAATTATCATTTTAATACTACTAAAAAGTGAATAGGCGTGCTGTGTGCAATTGCTTTTTTTAATATTTTGTAAATTTGTTCATGTAAATACTCTATGCTGTTTCTCTGTTTACTTTCGGTATATCTATGACTGTATACTGTTTGCTTGTATTGCCTTTTTTATTAACCCCTCCCCCCCCCATCTCCCACTTCATGTCCCCCCCCCTTCTGGGTTTCTTCTTTGGCCCCCTGTATCTCCAACTACATATTGTTTGTAATCTCTGTCTACAATGTATCTGAACTAGTCTTCTTTTCTTTTTCTGTATATGTGTTTGTCTGCAATAAAAAGTAAAAAAAAAAAAAAAAAAAGTTTTTTTTTTTTTTTTTTTTTTTTTTTACTTTTTATTGCAGACAAAGTTTTTTTTTTTTTTCATGTTCTTTTTTCCTGATGTTACCATCGCTTGGAATTGCCACGTCCACCACCACAACTTTCCTCTGCCCTTTATCTACCACCACAATGTCAGTTTGGTTCGCCATTTCCATTCGGTCAGTCTGTATTTGGAAATCCCACAGGATATTCACACACTCATTCTCCACCACCTTTGGAGGTGTTTCCCATTAGACCTTGGGATGGATAGATGGATAGATGGAATTTTAACAAAGTTAATTACAGCTTAAAAATTAATCGTAATTAATCACATTTTGAACTATCGACAAAATGATGCCATATTTTTCTGTAAATTTTTCTGTAAATGGTTGTTTGAATGGAAAGATGAATGACAATAGTATACATATTTGTTTATTATAACAATAAATCCACTTAAAACAGCATTAACATTATTAACATTCTGTCTTTCTTTAACTCATTGACTGCCATTGACGTAGTTGTCGGACACCATGATTTCTATCAAACTTTGACTGGGGATTACAGAAGAACAAAACAAGCTAGAAACCAACTTATTTTTTGCTGATGAAAGTAGACAGTCCAATCTTTCAGAATCTGGTTTCATATTTTAAATTGTCAAAGCACACAATATTCTGTAGGTCTTGGAAATCAACTAAATCATCAAAAACCACTGGCAGTCAACGAGTTAATAGACAGTTGTATTAAAAGTTGTAGCTGCAGCGCATGTAAACAGAACAGCATAGAAGCAGAAAGTGGCTATACCTCGTCTGTCTGTAACTGCATACACAGCAAAACAAGCCCGGGTGAACATAGCTAGCTTACATCATATCCTTCGGAGTGACCTGCAGGAGCGGGACCGCCTCGGACTAACTTTGGACGGAAAACTAGCGGTAATCTTTCAGTTATTGTACTGTATATTTCGTTAGCAGTGCGTTCCTTTGGTACCATTTCATCATTGATTGCTGTAAAGCTTATAAGAAGTTGTGCAAATGCTAACTAATGTCTACCTGCTCTGTCGCCATCTCACACGCATGTGTCCGTGTCACTTCTGAGTGTTATTATGGGATGCATGGGCGGGTTAATATACACATCTATAATTTATTGGTACTGTTTTGCTCTATTTGTTAAAGGGTGATCTCCAAATCAAAAACAATTCAAAGTAATGTAAAATAAAACGCTGAATGGAGCTATTGGCCCGGTTCAGACTGTGCGCCAGAACATATCTTGTGAGATCAAAAGTTGCAGCAGGAAACCACACACATTTGAAGGAAACACATCAATCATTCATTGTGAAATCTCTCTTGAAACAATCTCTTCTGCTCATCACTTGTCTCAGTTTTCTTCTAAATGACAAAGTGGCTGAGTGGATAGTGGAGACTCAATCCTGTCCCGTCCCACTTCCATTAAACAAATCCCCTAAACAAAGGGGGTGCAGGGCAAATGACTGGGGAGAGGTACAGACGACACGGTAGTGAATCTGGTATGTTTTCTTTGTTATTCAAAAAAGATAACAAAGAAGAAAAACTTGAGTGAGATGTATGTCAGATGAATATCAGTGTGACGAGAGAGAGAAGCATCGTCACATTTCCATCGCAGGAGTTCCTGGTTAAAGGAGGGGGGTGGCACATCCACAGGAACCGTCCTCTCACTTGGCCCCCTCAGTGGGCGTGTCTTCACTGCAGAGTAGAACCCCTCGGGGACGTCATGTGTTTCGCTCGCCGCGTAATCAATAATTATTTATCTTATGGTCGGAATAGCACTGGTTGTAATGATCTTGTGAGTCTTTTATAATCCTGCTTCAGTTTTTTTTTTCACAGCCTTTTTCCTGAGCGTGATGAATACCCCTTTGAGGTGCGTTGATATGTATTATCATTATCACCACGATGCCTCAAACCTTGTCTGAATTTCTTCTGTGCCATAGAAGGCACCTAATCACTGTCCATTTATTTTACATTTTATTCTGTATTTTGTATTTTGTATTTATTTATTTCAAACATGTACACACCAATAGGGCTGGCCCTGTAAAATAACCCCAAAGTTCCTGCGGTGGAAACGCGACTAATGACAGGTTCTAATACTGTGTGCTAAGTACTAAGGGATGATCTCAATGTAAGGCTAGACTAAAAGAAAACCAAATTGGGGGCTTGTACAGGGATCAGTTCAGCTGATCAACAGCGCAAGACAGACTTTGAATAAAGTGAGTTTTTCCCCCATCCTCATTCAATATGATTTACAAATTTTAAAAAGCCAGCACACTCTATAAACAAAAACGCTATTTTCATGTGAACCAAAAAAGTAAGAGTGCTCCAGCTGTTGTTCCCAAAGTTTCCTAATTAGAGTAGCCTTTGTTTTCAGCACAAATTGAGGCAGCACTTTAGAGTCGACTTACCCATTTCTTGAAAAAAATATCCATTCTTGGACATTGCAGAAGGAAGGCCCTCTGTGGGAAACAAAACAAAATCATCAGTTATGGGGACATACACATCAACACCCACACTGTATTATAAAGTAATACAGTGCATCGGGAAAGTATTCACAGCGCTTCAATTTATTTTAAACATTTTGTTATGTTACAGCCTTATTCCAAAATGGATTAAATTAATTTTTTTGCCCTTAAAATTCTACACATAAAACCCCATAATGACAACGTGAAAAAACATTTTTGGGAGATTTTTGCAAATGTATTACAAATAAAAAACGAATAAATCACATGTACATAAGTATTCACAGCCTTTGCCATGAAGCTCAAAATTGAGCTCAGGTGCATCCTGTTTCCACGGATCATCCTTAAGATGCGTCTACTGCTTCATTGGAGTCCACCTGTGGTAAATTCAGTTGATTTGACTTGATTTGGAAAGGCACACACCTGTATATACAAGGTCCCACAGTTGACAGTGCATGTCAGAGCACAAACCAAGCATGAAGTCAAAGGAACTGTCTGTAGACCTCCGAAACAGGATTGTCTCGAGGCACAAGTCTGGGGAAGGGTACAGAAACATTTCAGCTGCTTTGAAGGTCCAAGTGAGCACAGTGGCCTCCATCATCCGTAAATGGAAGCAGTTTGGAACCACCAGGACTCTTCCTAGAGCTGGCCGGCCATCTAAACTGAGTGATCGGGAGAGAAGGGAGAAGGAAGAGAACCTTCCAGAAAGACAACCATCTCTGCAGCAATCCACAAATCAGGCCTGTATGGTAGTGGCCAGACAGAAGCCGCTCCTTAGTAAAAGGCACATGGCAGCCCGCCTGGAGTTTGCCAAAAGGCACCTGAAGGCCTCTCAGACCATGAGTAAAAAAATTCTCTGGTCTGATGAGACAAAGATTGAACTCTTTGGCGTGAATGGCAGGCGTGATGTTTGGAGGAAACCAGGCACTGCTCATCACCAAGCCAATACCATCCCTACAGTGAAGCATGGTGGTGGAAGCATCATGCTGTGGGGATTTTTTTCAGCAGCAGGAACTGGGAGACTAGTCATGATAGAGGGAAAGATGAATGCAGCAATGTACAGAGACATCCTGGATGAAAACCTGCTCCAGAGCACTCGTGATCTCAGACTGGGGCGACGGTTCATCTTTCAGCAGGACAACAACCCTAAGCACACAGCCAAGATTACAAAGAAGTGGCTTCAGGACAGCTCTGTGAATGTCCTTGAGTGGCCCAGCCAGAGCCCAGACTTGAATCCAATTGAACATCTCTGGAGAGATCTGAAAATGGCTGTGCACTGACACTCCTCATCCAACTTGATGGAGCTTGAGAGGTGCTGCAAAGAGGAATGGGCAAAGACAGGTGTGCCAAGCTTGTGGCATCATAGTCAAAAAGACTTGAGGCTGTAATTGCTGCCAAAGGTGCATCAACAAAGTATTAAGCAAATGATGTACATGTGGTTTCTTAGTTTTTTTTATTTTTAATACATTTGCAAGAATCTCAATAAAACTTTTTTCATGTTGTCATTATGGGGTGTTGTGTGTAGAATTGTGAGAAAAAAAATGAATTTAATCAATTTTGGAATAATGCTGTAACATAACAAAAATTGGAAAAAGTGAAGCGGTGTGAATACTTTCCGGATGCACTGTACATGAGATATGACAAACGGTAAACATTACATTACACCAAACCAGACATTTTGTTTGCAATTAGGCAACAGGATAATATTAAGGTAATCGACAAAAAATGTAATTCATGATCATTAAAACAATTGTTTGTCCACGATATTTGGGACCGTCCCAAATCCCAGATTGTCCTAAAACAATATGTAATCTATATTTATATATACCGCCTTTTCACTGCACATCGGAGTCTCAAAGCGGTTTACAATTGTTATTTTTGGGAGTGGGGTTGCCAGTACAGGAGGCACATGCCAGACCTATTGTACATATTTTTAGTGGTAGGGGAAACCGGAGCACCCGGAGGAAACCTACGCAGACACGGGGAGAACATGCAAACTCCACTCAGAAAGGCCCTGGTCCAACCGGGATTCGAACCCAGGACCTTCTTGTTGAGAGGCGAGAGTGCTATCCACTCAGCCACCGTGCCGCCCTTTGGTGTTGGCCATAGTGAAGGTTAGAGTGTGACTGTTTGAGGTTGTGGATAGGTGTTACAGGTTAACAGGTCTGTGAGAGCCCGAAATTGTACTTGTTTGTCAGAATCAGAATCTTACTTACACCAAAGAGCTGTCAAAGGACACCAGAAACAAAAATGTAGACCTGCACAAAGCTGGGAATGAATCTGCAATAGGTAAACAGCTTGGTGTGAAGAAATCAACTAAGGGAGCAGTTATTAGAAAATGGAAGACATACAAGAACACTGATAATCTCCCTCAATCTGGGGCGCCATGCACATTTTTCTAACTCATTTGCCTAGCTAGCTATAATTTTCCCCCACGGTTCACTGTCCTGTGTCTGTGCTATTTGATAGTCACGCTGCATATCAGGACACTTTTGCGCAACCTTTTGTTGTGTACGCGAGGTTGAGGCGCTAGGGTCAAAGACAATTTTGCCTTTCGTAAGTCCTGTTCCATCATTCATATCAAGCGTGAGAGAAACAAAGTAAAAATGCGTGTATGGATTCATTTGGACAGTGATGTCCATTTCCTTGGGCTCAGAACTGCTAAGATCAGGAGTGTGTACACAGGGCTTTGGGGCGCCAACAAATGCATAAAGAGATTTCGGAGGATTCAAGGGAGATGTGTGATGTTTTTGCCAAATGACTGAGATCTAACAGTGGGACATTGTAAGAGACAAACAACACTGTTTGTCTGGACAGGCTGTTATTTATTATTTGCTGCTGTTTAAATTTAGCTAACAGCTCAAAATGTATGTATTAAGTGTGGACAGTTCATATCAAGAGTTTCTCTTTTTAGTCAAAATGTTTAATGTGTCACAGTCACCAGTGAGACAAGGTTAACATACACTACATATTGTACAAATCCTATCTGGACTTGTATGATCAAAATATCAAAACCAATTTATTTTATTTACAAAAAACATGTACAGCCGCATTATTGAAGTTATATTTTATGCTTTGTTTCTTATGATGGATTTCCCACCAGAACACAGAATAAGCATCACATCTTAATAGCCCATTTCTTTGGTGAAATCCAGATGGTTGGTAAACTCCGGCCAATTGTCATTTCCCTACATGTACCGTCTGCGTCTGCTCCCAGTGTCTGCAATTACATCGGTTGAAACCCATCCGACCAATCTGCGAGCGCGGGAGGCGGGTGTTGTAGGTAGATGTTAGTGACGTCATGAGTTTGCGCGGAATTTCCTGGTCATAGTTTGACTATGGCAGAGAATGTGATATTAAAGGAATCCGTTCTGGTTCTATCAAGAAGTTGAAGCCGGAGCAAGGAATGTTTAGCAAAGATTTTGTGGCGCTACTCCTCACGGGCTCTGTTAGATGGCAAAGGAGATGTTATTATACAACCCACAATTTTTTTTTTCCAAATAATGATTTTTTTTTAAATTTCTATTATGAACCAATTGCAAACTTTTTTAATAATTGAAGCCAAATTGAAGCCATGAACAGAAAAGAGGAAGTTGTCTTTGTTGCTTGACGGAAGTAGGAAGCATTATTTCTCAGATGTGCATCAGTGGCTATTACAAACATAATAATAATAGGAAGAATACGTCCATGTCAATATTTAGTCACTCCATACACAGTGGTTATGAACTACTGTTGCCACAAGTGCCCTGGAGCACACTGACAGAAGCGATGCCACCAGTATGTGCCATCAGCCCCTTTGACCATCACCAACTATTCATGCACACTCTACTCATTCTAGGCAATCATGGGTTTACAATACCGTTCAAGGTATCACATTGAAATGTCCTTATTTTTGAAGGAAAAGCACTGTAGATAACTTTAAACTAGTCTTAACTGTAAAGAAATACACTCTGTACATTGCTTATGTGGTAAATGACTATTCTAACTGCAAATGTCTGGTGCAATGTTGTAATTGCTGCAAATGGAGGATTCTTTGACGAAAGCAAAGTTGGATGTAAAACAAATCGTATTTCAAATACAAATAATTATTTCTAACCTTGTCAATGTCTTGACTCTATTTTCTATTCATTTCACAATGTATGGTGGTGAATAAGTGTGACTTTTCATGGAAAACACTTGGCCCCAAACTTTTGAACGGTAGTGTAAGTGTCTTGCCGAAGGACACAACAGTTTGATACTTTACAGCCAAAGCCACCCCACTGTAGCCCCTGGTGTTTGCTGAGTTCTCCCATCAAAGTGCTAATCAGGCCTTGCCCTGCTTAGCTTCAGAGAACTGACGGGATCTGGCTTTCACATAAAGGTGTGTTGCAAACATGATGGCTATCTGCGTCAGTTATAAGCTCTGAGATCATTCACAATGTTGGCTGATCTGTATCTGTAGATAGATGGCAATGTGCTGTATTAAAACATCCCTTTTTGTAGCAGACAGGATCTTGACAAAGGTCGACCGTGCAAATGCCTCTTTAATCCTGGATCAAACACCTATTGGCTCTTTGTTCCCCTGTGAATCTTTTTTTGAATTCTGATGTAAAAGAAAACAGAAAACAGAACATGACACTGTCCATGCTAGAAAGAAACCAGCTCTCTAACAATACATTGAAGGGTTGTTGTGGTGACGGGCACCTGAGGCAAACTGAAGCCTACTCAGTACACGTGATTAAATAACAATAATTATTACATCTAATACAGCTGTATAAAACAGACATCTACTGTAATAAACGTTCTATGGATCCTGAACGATCACCAGAATTCAAGCACTTTTAGGGCTGGACGATATGGCTGACATATAAGTGACATAAGTGACATGCTTGCAATCTGACTCCTTGCCGGTGATAGCATACCCGGAAACAGACAAATCCAGTGCATTCTTACGACACCTTTGCCCTCAAAAACTGCTTTAAAGCCTGGTCCAAAAGTTGA